GCAGTTTGAATAGTCCTTTATGTGCTGAAAGAGCATTTCTCCCTTCGAAGCTTATTTCTGAAGTAAAGTTTTCTATTTCCAAAAAGTTGTAAAGATATTGCTCATGTCTGAAAGCATTCTCATCCAAGAGGCTCATTTTTTATTTGGAGATGAGTTTTTTTCACATGCAAAACCAACCTCATCATTTTGTGTTCAGAAATTGCAGCTGCCATATTCCACAGTTTAAGATGAGCATGATTTCATTATGGGGAGTCTTAAAAGACAAATCTCAAGCTTTCATTTGATTTGTTTGCATTCTAATTAGAACAATAGGTGTGCAGAACAAAGGACATGTAGAAAAACAAATGAATTTAAGTAGGATAAAATTTTTAATTGGATACAATTTGAAAATTAGGAAGCAAACTCTCAACATTCTTTTTATTTCTTATGTTAAACAAAAGTATCTCTTGCCCTGACTGGTTTGGCTCAGTGGATAGAGTGTCGGCCTGCGGACCGAAGGGTCCTGGGTTCGATTCCAGTCAAGGGCATGTACCTTGATTGCGGGCATCTCCCCAGTGGGGGGTGTGCAGGAGGCAGCTGATCAATGTTCCTCTCTCATCAATGTTTCTAACTCTCTATCTCTCTCCCTTCCTTGCTGTAAAAAATCAATAAAATATATTTTTAAAAAGTATCTCTTAATTTTCTGATTCAGTTAGGTATATTTTTAGAGAGTTGTTTTTTTTTAATTGTCATGGAATAATATTCCACTCTTGCGTGTTATTAGATTAAAAACATGCTTTAACACAATTTTTAAACTAGAAGTTCCTAGCTGCATCAGGGTCTGTTCCTAAATTACTTGACTCCCTTTCTCCAGGCTCCCTGGGACAAGAAGGAATGCACTGATGGGGTCCTTGGAGGTGCTCTTGCCACTTACTTAGCCCATAAATGACCACATAGCTCCCAGGACTGGGTCTCCTCCCTGCACGCTGATTTCCCATGCATTCATCCACTGCTAGCTGTTATTTTTGGTATTTACCCAGAGGTGTGCATGAATTGCTTCACTAGAACCGTGTTGTTGTTTTTTGCCAGAGGGGAAGTTCCTGTGTGTGGTTATTGATGTTCTTTTCAAAGTCAATAAATGACAAATAAAGAAATGATGGAAGATGATTTGTGGCAGTTATGCCTGTAGGCAGCTGAAGCCCACAAAAAAGGGAAGTTCATTTCATTATTTGAAAAGGCTGTAGGTTTAGCTTCTCCGAGGCTGGGAAGGTTGGGGACTCCTCAGTGTTACTCCTGAGGTTAACTGGGTAAGCAGTTTCCTGGCATCGCCCTCAGCGAAGGTTTTGTCCTCTTGGTGGGAGGCCAGTCCTCACTGTGGTCCTGCTTACTTGGGAGTAGCCTGCTTCCGGTCTGTAAGAGGTCGGGTGTTTGGGGGCGACAGTGTTGAGCACATTTTGTAGGTTATTTGTGGTTGTTTTTCTGGTCCTATTTATAGTGACAGATCATTGGTTCTAAAACCACCATAGTCACTGGAAAATCATCAGGATAACCAAGGCGGCTTGAGCACTGGCCTGAAGATCACTATCATACCCAGATGTGGATTCGTTGGGGGAAGTGCTGGATTCTAGATCTCCCTTTCCTCCACTGGCCCAAGTGCACGGCCCCAGAAGATAGTGTATGTTTGCCTGTTTTGTTTCTTAAGATTATTTTCAGGTGGGGAACTATGTACAGCAGCTATACTTTCTCATTTTAATATTTTCTTCTGAGACTTACAACAAATTCTGGGGAAAGTGGGGGCTGAATGCAGAGCCCCTCCAAGGTAGCATTGCCAAAATCAGGTTTATACTTACTCTGGATGGTCTTGCTGTAGGGCAGGGATGTGCTGAATAACTTCATAAATTGTATTGTGCAAATCTTGCCCTGATACACCATCAGAGGCTGGAACAGACCTACTGGGCATCTAGAAAATGTAGCACATTAAAAAAAAATTAGCAGACTAGTACACAGTCTTTCCACTATGCTGCAAAGTTGAAAACAGCTGCAAGTAGTGATGAATAGAGAATTATAACTGTTTCTCTTCCCTACAATACTCAATTCCTCCTTGCTATAGTTCCCTGCACATGCCCTATGGTATTTAGTGTAACAGCATAGCTATGAGGTCAGAAGAGGAATAGCTTGACAAAGCTATCATTTCTTTTATAATTTAAGATAAAAGTTGACAGTATTGTGAAGGAACTATAACAGAAAGAAAGAATGGCAAAAGAGAAGCTATCAGGACAACTTAGAATCAGAGAGCGCATATTATTATCTATACAGTAAAAGACTAAGCGACCATTATGGTGGAATGACCAAAATGACCAGTCATTATGATGCGCACTGACCACCAGGGGGCAGACGCTCAACGCAGGAATTGCCCCCTGGTGTTCAGTGCACTCCCACAGGGGGAGCGCTGCTCAGCCAGAAGCCGGGCTCACGGCTGGTGAGCTCAGTGGTGGTGGTGGGAGCCTCTCCTGCTTCTGCTGCAGCGCTAAGGAGCAGCAATCCAAGCTGTAAGGAGCAGCGAGCAGGCAGGCAGTAAGGAGTGAGAGATCCCGGATTGTGAGAGGGATGTCCGCCTGCCAGCTTCGCAGACATTCCCCAAGGGGTTCCGGACTGTGAGAGGGCACAGGCCAGGTGAATATTGTGCACCAGGCCTCTAGTCTTTTATATTACATCCTGATTAACTTTTTGCACCATTTATGTCTCCAAGGATGGTTGAAAAGAAAGCTAAAAGCCCTCATCACATTGCAAGTTAGTAAAGCCAGTACCAAGAAATATAGAACACACAGAGGGAGATGTTTAAGTTTGAATGTAGTAAGGGGCTCTATAGACTAAAAGACTTTAGTGAATGTGGAAAGTATAGTAGTGAATTTCTGTCTAGTTAAAAACCAACATGTAGTTTATTGAAACTGGAATTCATAACTCCTATCCCTTGTATTTGATAATTAAATTTTGTAAACACTGCCTTCCAATTATAAAGTCTGGTTCCCTGCCGTATCCCAAACTCCTCCTATTCTTCACATTTGTGATCACTTTCTGTCCTTTCTGTATCTCTACCTAGGACCCTTTTTACTTGATAAATCATCCGGAGGTTCTGTTTCTCATCCCAGCTTGGCTTGCTAGGTTATATTGGAATATCTTAGCTTTATGTTTTTCTGGAAACTGCCTGTTTACATTCCACTTGCTGAAGCTGTCGTGGGCAGCCCTAGAATATGTGATTTGTCCTTTTTTTTTTTGGTGTGTGTGTGTGCGTGTGTGTGTGTGTGTGTGTGTGTGTGTGTGTGTGTGTAGGAGATTTTGGTTTACAGTTTGTACTTGAGATCCATTCTTGATTTTCTTTGGTACGGAGGTGTTCAGGGCCCATGATAAAAGCAGTCTATAGATAATAACTAACTTAGCTAACCTAACATTAGCGTTGTTAACACATAATAAATTGGTTGATTTCATGCCATTGCCTCCTGTTCCACTTCTGAAAGAGGTGCTACAGGGACAGTGACATGTACAGCAAGTAGACAGAGGAGAGCATTCCATCTGCACACGCACCACAACCAGATAGGCGATTCTGATTTTTTTAAAAATGCAAAAAGTTAGTAATTCAATGTATTTCCCTTCTTAACGTCAATTTTCATATCTTGGTGTTATTATTATTTCTCCTTTTCTTCTCCAAGACGTTGCATTTTGCTGCTAATCTTCACACACAATTGCCTTTCTGGCTTCTCCTTCCTACATATGTTCTGGTCCTCACCCTCCTCCTCCTCCTCCTGCCGTTGTTGCTTTGATTTCTCACTTCTTCCCCAGGCACCTGGCACCAGTGAGGAACCTCATCTGATTCCTTAGGAGTTTCAGCTTTGAAGATGGGCATAGCTCCAATTAAAGTTATTCTACTTATGACAGAAATAACTGGGGCTTCAGGTATGTAATGAAAGCACTCATGTGTCTCCTCAAGTTCTTGCCGATTGTAGCATTTACAGCAAATAGAAATCCTCCCAATAAAATCTTCAAACTGAATGCTGATTAATTACAAGGCTAAATGCTAAGTTTCTTACCTAGATCTCACTCTAATGAATTCCTAGGAATGAAAACTGCCTGATTTCAAAGAAAGAACTCCTAACTTTGAAAATTCAGCTCCAAGTCTTATCAGCTCTTTAGTTTTCTGCTCTTCCACTTAAAGGCCACTCCTTTTGAAAGGGGTACTTTTTGCCATGGTGGAAAGCTGTTTGAAATCACTGATCCACCAAATACTTATTTTTGCCTTTTTGGTTGTAGAAGTGAAGGGTGAGCCGATCCTGTCTGAGACTGACTAGGGTATTGCAGAGCTTTTGCTATGCAGTCCTGCCCTTCGTCTGCGATGATGTAGGCACTGGCACTACGCAGCTACCCTTAGGATGGAATCCAATCAGTCCCCCTCCGTTACTCACATGGTGTTTGTGAAATAAAGTCTGTGGCCAGGAAACTGACTGGATGAACCTTATATTGATAGAATTCTCTGAACAAGTGAGGTAACTATCCCTAACAACAAATAAGCCACCCAGAAGCAAGTAGTCTGTTTATGCCCCCTTCTTTACGTGAACGATCATAGGAGAATAAGGAAGCTGAGAAAAGATTGATCCTACACAAATCTATACAGATGTCAATGAGCTGAATAGCTCAGAAAAACATTCGGCATGCTGTGAAACAAAACCGATTGCTTCAAAAGACCTTGTCTTTGATGGCTGGACAAAAAAAAAAGGCTTCAACTGTGTAAAAGCTCCCCCTCTCACATCTCAGGCACCTTTAGGATAAAAATAAAGATGCGTACTTGCTTACTTTGGGTTTCTGTGGTGCCTTTCTTATGAAGAGCATAAGGTACCTTTCAAGGGTATGATCAGTCGTCCTTGCAATGACCTCAAGGAATATGAGGGGAATGGGGAAGGGGAAGCTGAGGGGGAGAGAGAGTTGGTGAAGTGACAGGTTGCAGTCCATGCAGTGGTTCGAAATGATTCAACCAGGGATTCCTGATTCCCGATTGATTCTGTTCTCTTGACCTTCTACCTAGTTAGTTCTCGCCAGTGGGCTTACCAGGCAAATAATGTTTATGGATCAGTGTCACTTCCTTTCTTGTGTCAGCCTTATTTATAAAGTCTAAGGAAGATGCTTAGCTCCTCAGATCCAGCCACAGTGAGTCACACCGCTGCCAGGGGATGCAGCCATCTGACCTGCACTGCCCAGCGCTCAAAGGAGTGCGGCTGACGCTTCTGCCGAAGCAGAATTCTACTTCTCAGCTAATCAGCCACTAGGGAAACCAACCCTGGGAACACCAGAAGCATCTGGGAAAGCAACAAATTCGTATATTCCGAAGTCATCCAGAGCATCTTCATGGCCTGAAACGGAAAACAAATACTACTTAAAAACCAGACGCTTCAACTTGCTGCTGTTGTTTTTAAGCCCTTGTAAAACTTATCTGTATTGTTTGCTTCAAGTGGTATGTGTAAGCAACCAATTTCCCAATCCCTATAGTCCTATGGGTACTAAGCAGTGTTGGAAATCACTCCTTCTGAAGCTGAGAATTGAAACTGAATTGGAACAAGTATTCTTAAAGCCTGACCTGGGAACAGCGTATTCTGTATTGGAATAAACACTCATGGGCTGGCTTGTCCTTTGTAACTGTCGGTTACAGAGACTTACAGCCACCAAGTCTCAGTCTGGCAGTCACCGCAGCTCTTCATCCACTCATAATATCTACTGCACCCCCTGGAACTAACAGAGACCACCAGGACTAATAAAGAAATAACCACAGCTGCCCAGACATACAAAATATAATACAGTATGATGTCAAGATCACTAAACTGTCATCTGAAAAATGATAGGAATGGGGTGGTGAGGAGGAACCAGGTGGTCTCTTTGGGGCCTTTCCTAGCCCCAACATTCTATCATCTATGAGAAAGGACTAGATAAGAGGAGGAAGACCCATATTTACTAAGCATCTAGGCATCATATTAGGCATGCCACTCACATCATGCTATTCTCAAAGCAACCCTGAGGGGAAGTTATTATCTTCATTCTATAGATGAGGAAGTTGAGGTCAGGAAAAATAATTTTCCCAAGATGACATTGGGGGAAAGTGGCATTTATGGCAGTAAAACCCAGCTCTGTGTGACTTCAAGTCCCATTGTGAACTTAGAACAACTCAGTAGGGAGTCAGTAGTGATGGCCTGAGGAGCATGCTGGGAACAAAGAAGCAGCAAACCTTCCAGCCTCCCTTTCTCCTCCCTGGGATGGAGCCGCCAGCACTTTATCTGCCTTTGGAATTAACAAAGTGAGGGAACCCTGGGCAATTTTCAAAATAATAATAGGATCAATGGAAATGGATTCAGAACTCAGGACAGTGGGCAAGTGACTTAATCTCTCTGAGCCTTGATTCTCCTGCCTGTAAAATGGAGTTGAGTGCCTTTCACTTTTAAGAGCGTTTGTCTTACAGACTTGTGCGACTTACATAAAATCAAGGCACTAGTCAAAGGTAAAGGATTGTTAGTATGACAACAGTATTAGCTTATGTGAATTCTGTTATTTCATTAGCACTTTATATATAATGATTCATATCAATACTATTCATTAATACACATTACATTGAGAATAACTCCTTTCAGCCTGGCCGTTACCTGAAAATGTTCCTGCTTTTCTGTATACTGTTTCTGGCCTGAAAAGACAAATTGGCATTTCTGTCAGTCTTAACAACTGAGGAAAAAGCATTCAAGAAAAAAATTATTTTCATAGGAACATATGCATTACCTGCCTTCTAGCTTCTGTTTTATAACTGAAACCAAGAGAGAAAAAACACAGTAAGAAACTTTTTAGTACCTGTATAAAGCCATTTAGAATGTTTTTCTAATTTTCACCTACCTTTGTAGGGTTGATATTTTTTCCATAAGAGAAGAAGACACATGGATATAATCAAAAAGAGTGATATTCCAGTTATACTTGCTAAAGGGGACAATGACTTCCCTTTTTGTGCAAGCTTCTCTAGTCCTAAATGAAAAGAAAATACAGTTTTAATGTTTTTTTATTGAAGGTCAGTAATAAATTGCTATATAATTTGACTTGTTCATGCTTTATCTTAAATGAGACACTACTGAATATATATATGAGAGAGAATATGAATGAGAGATGAAATGAGAGGAACACACTTATTTTAGAATATGCCATAAACACTCTGAGGACATTCGTGACTGGAAATGTGGTGAGCTGCCCACAATAATACTGATAAGTTGTACTACATGTACCAAATAGCCCATGTCATACTTTTTTTTTTTTATGTCACACTTTTCAATAGCATTTGCTACCATGATCCCATTGTGTACAACATCCCCAGATGCTAGGTTGTTCTCTCTCTCCTTCCATCGCACTCTTTTTAAAAAATACATTTTATTAATTTTTTTACAGAGAGGAAGGGAGAGAGACAGAGAGTCAGAAACATCAATGAGAGAGAAACATCGATCAGCTGCCTCCTGCACACCTCCTACTGGGGATGTGCCCGCAACCAAGCTACATGCCCTTGACCGGAATTGAACCTGGGACCTTTCAGTCTGCAGGCCAGTGCTCTATCCACTGAGCCAAACCGGTTAGGGCCATCTCACTCTTTCAATATGATTTGGGTATGTGAATTTTCTAGGGAGGTGGTATCTGATTAAATGTGTGAAAGGGGAGGTGTTTATTTTCAAGGCACTTTACTAAATTTTGACCAATAAATAAATTTCATTCCTAAAATAGAATGTATGTATGATTTTAAAAAATATTTAAAATCCCACTTTATGACTAAAATTCCCTTTTTTTGCAAGTCATTCCTTCCATTAACATCCTATATAAAATATAGTGCTAATAGTTAACATCTGCCTAGTGCTTACAATATGTCAGGCTCTGTTCTAAGAATACATGAAACATACTGAGCCACTGAATATTTATAATAATCTTATGAGGGGAATAGTATTATTATTATTATCCCCTCTTACAGACGAGGAAACTGAGGCTTCCCCAAAGTGACTCAGTAAGTGGCAGAGTCCAGAGGAGGTCCCAGGCTCTCGACACTTTGTGCTGCCTCACTTTGTTGTTATTTTAACACAACTTGCTAACCTGGGTAATGTTAACATTAGTTCCAGACTATCAATATGGTTAGTCATAGAGTTCATCTATAAAGTGGGGAGTAGTTGTGACCTCCAACAAATGGGAGTACCAAGTGTCTTTCATTTTATCAGGTGACTGAGATATTGGTATGGAAGTGAGTCATGGAAGTTGCCTGTCTCTGTCCAGTTTAACGGGGAGGGAAAGTCATGGACTGTCATTTCTATTCTACAGGTGCTAACAGCCTGGAGAATGTGCATGTGGCCACTTGGCTCAGCAATAAATATCCAGCCTGCACTCTCATCTTTCACCATGAAACCTCTGCTGAGCCCTAACCGGTTTGGCTCAGTGGATAGAGCGTTGGCCTGCGGACTGAAGGGTCCCAGGTTCGATTCCTTTCAAGGGCATGTACCTTGGTTGCAGGCAAATCCCCAGTAAGGGGTGTGCAGGAGGCAGCTGATCGATGTTTCTCTCTCATCAATGTTTCTAACTCTCTATCCCTCTCCCTTCCTCTCTGTAAAAAATATATTAAAAAAACAAAAAAAACCCCTCTGCTGAGGTCTCCAGCAGCCGAGACAAGGAGGAAACCTTAATCTTTCCCTTCTTTCACTGTGGAACTATATACACTCTCTTGGCTTTCCCCTTAAACACTTTCACTTTTCATCTTCCCAGAATCTTTTTATAATGTGGTATAGATCGCATATGTCAAACTCCAGTTAAAAAGTCATGGAAATTATTCTACTTTTTCTAATTTCTCATACTGTGCTGTTCATGTATGCTATCTAAGTCTTTAAGAGTTAAGCAAAAAAAAAAAAAAGAGTTAAGCAGGTTATTTTTCATTATTAAAAGTCTTTACCATCTCAGATGAGAACTTTATAAATTCTTTTATGCATTCAGAGAATTGTGTTTTTAAAATGTTCTTTTTATGGGATGGCAATACTTGTGTAACATTCTTGCCTTTAAACAGATTTTAATTAAACTCTTTTTAACTCTGGTGGAAGAAATGAATGCAAGTGGTTTAGGTTACAGCATTGTCCTGATATGCCAAGGTTGCAGATTCAATCTCTGGTCAGGGCACATACAAGAACCAACCAATGAGTGCATAAGTAAATGAAACAACAAATCAGTGTTTCTCTCTCTCTCTTTCTCTCCCTTTCTCTCTCTCTAAAATCCATCAATAATTTAAAAAAAAAATGAACAGAATGGTAATTTATTGGTTCTAGATCGGTCAGTGGTTCTCAACCTTCCTAATGCCGCGACCCTTTAATACAGTTCCTCATGTTGTGGTGACCCCCAATTTCATTGTTACAAATTGAACATAATTAAAGCATAGTGATTAATCACAAAAACAATATGTAATTATATATGTGTTTTCCGATGGTCTTAGGCGACCCCTGTGAAAGGGTCGCGACCCACAGGTTGAGAACCACTGGTCTAGAACAGTGGTCGGCAAACTGCGGCTCGGGAGCCACATGTGGCTCTTTGGCCCCTTGAGTGTGGCTCTTCCACAAAATACCACGTGCGGGCGCGCATGTACAGTGCGATTGAAATTCGTGGCCCATGCTTAGAAGTCGGTATTTTGTGGAAGAGCCACACTCAAGGGGCCAAAGAGCTGCATGTGGCTCCCGAGCCGCAGTTTGCCGACCACTGAACATCACAAAACTTATTGGGATTGTTCTTCCTCCTTGTTAATAATTCATAGAACTATTAACATTCTCCCGCTGTTAGAAAGCTGAGCTTTGAGTTTGGAACTACCTTAGCACTTGGGTGACCTCTTTGTGAAGTCTCAGCCTTTCTTCAGACAATGTGCTCCTACCTCATAGGTTTGTTCTCTTGAAAGAGCTGGGCAACTTTGGCTGAAGCCACTTGACGCTGATGTTCTGGATTTCCACATTAGTAAAATGAGGAGGTTAGAGTGATTGATTTTTAAGTTCTCTGTTGCTCTGTTATTATATGATTTGGGACAGCCAGAGAAGTTTTTTTTTAAGTTTATTACATGAATCCATTACATGCTAGTAACTGAGTCTCAAAAACTTGTGTGTGTGTGTGTGTGTGTGTATGTATATATATACATATATGTTATAATTTTTACTGATATAAAGGATATGTAGCACATAATTTAGAAATAATAATAAAACACTCAATACTCTATTTTTAATTCCCAATAAAGCTACTTGATTCTCACAGGAACAGGATGCTTTTGTTGAACATTATGTATATATAAAACCAAATGTATATATTTTCCCCACTTATTTGGTATAGAAGTATCATATCAGAAATAATGAAAATAGTAAGAAAAATTAAATCATCATTTCTAGGTACAGATAAAGAAATAAACTTAGAGAAACTAAAATATTTGCCACAGTCAGTAAGTCCCAGATCTGATACTGGAACGTAAGTTTTTTTTTCTTTTCTAACTGCAAGTTCAGTTTTTTCCTATTAATCTGTGGGTAAAGAATGGTTCTATAATTGGCAGGTAGACTCCCATATATTCAGTTTTTCCTTTAACCTTTTATAACACCAGACTTGATGTGCTTTGACTCTCTCTCTTCTTGATGACCAGACTACCTTCATACAAGATCTACCAAAATTTAATAAACCCTGACCCCTCATAAATAGTCAGTGCTAATGTATTCTAATCAAGTTTCTGCAAAGCACTTTACCCTGGGAAAAACTGCAGAAAAACATTTAAGTATAGTCTCAGCTTTTTGCTCCTTATAAACTTGAAAATATGCTAGTAGTTATTATCTCAGAGTAGTTCTCATTCTAATGGTGAAGTTATACTCTGGCATATATCAGCTCTTTGCTGGCACTTGCAGGATTCTGAAGCCTGGTAGTAGGTTTAACATATAATGAATGGATGTATCCCACTAGATAAGACATATTTCCTCCCCTCTCCACTATTTTAAGCTTTTTTTCACCTTTGATATGTATGTGCTAAAATGACCAAGTCTACACATTCTGTCCTACAAAGGACCCCTCTCATTCCCTGTTCCATTACTTCCTTATTTCCGTAGACTCCTTCCTTATTGCCCTCTTGCCTCTCTTCCCCTTGTTTGCCCTACATCAGAGAACCACCCTGTAGTGACCAGTGCCCATTAGCCCCAATCCTTGGCTTCATTCTGTCTCAGAAAATGCAAGATTTCCCATGTCTGACATTTGAAATTTTCCCCCTTTCACAAAATAAAAAGTGCCAAACAGGTCAAGGATCAAATCAAGGGGCACAGTTGCTGTAGTCTCAGCTGTAGGCAAGTGTGTTTAGAAGAGATGTCCTTTCAGAAGCACAACTTAAGACAGCAGGGAAATTCAGACCAAGTAGCCATGGATGCTGAATGCAGTTCTGGACACTTCCAGGAACACCAGTCTTTCTCCTTTCAGAGAGGTTTCTACTCTTCAGAACATAGCATGCCACCCTCCCTCCCCCTTATTTAAACATGATTGACTCATTTACCAAAGCCTTAGTGCAAATGCTATTTGCCCCCTCCTTAGGCAAACAAATAAAATGAAATCACATATGAAGTGTAAATATGGGCAAGAGGTGTGGTATCCATGGTATCGCAACCCGGCTGTTTGAGAAACTGCACCCAAAACAGGACAGCCATATGCTACCAGTCAGCATGCCTATTTCTAGACCAGAATGGAGTTTGGAGATCTCTCCCATCCAATATGTTCGCTGATTACGGCGTCTGATTCATGTCCCTACAGAGATGAAGGTGCCATATTGAGAGATGTACTATGTTCACACTCCACCATGGCCCCACCTGACAGATTCAGTTATTCAGGGATGTAGTTCTAGCTTAGTTGTTTTCTCCCATGAGCCAAAGTGAAATACACCTACTGGACATCTTAACCTAAGAAATTTCTAGGTAGATGGAAGAAATTAATAAATTCATTTTCCTGTCATGGGTCATTTTCCTATTCTCAGGATCACATACAAATTAAAAACATCTCTTATGTCTAAATATCAAAATATAGGCATGTGGACCTTGGGAACTCTAATAATTTGCATGTCTTCGTTAAACATGAACACTTGAATTTTAATCACACGTACTTTCATTTTATATATATTGCATGGCACAATAGTGATTTAGATCCATTAAAATTTAAAAGTGGTAACACCTGCATTCAAGGAAGTCTATAATTAGGGTAATAAAATTATTGTGTGTTTTTTTCAAAATACAGATGCTAATTAACTATTTTAGTTTCTAGTCTTTCCTTGAAACTTATATTCTAGATATTATTTTTACTTAAATGTATTTCATAATTTCTCATTAATAGAAATATATACACATGTCATGGACAAACCAGGGTATCTCTTTGTATATAGCATAAGGTGTTGAGAAAATACACACTATCTTGAATATGTGACGTACCTCTTAGGAACACCATAGTCTTATTGATATTCTCAGTCAAAAACAGTTTACTAGTATATAGTGACTAGAAACAAGGGCTTTGAATTCAGATATTATTTTATTGCTTACAGCTATGTGACCTTAACCATTGCCCTATTTTCTTTAAGATATCTCCCTGTGATACAGAAAGGTCAATTAATTAATATCTCAAAGTAGATATCACTGGTAGCCCACAGTGGTGGAAGGCACCATTTTACACAGGCAGGGAAACACAGAGCTAATTGTGACATTCTCCAGCCTTCCTCTCCTCAACTAAAAGTCCCCAATAAAACTTTTGATTATTTCCTGACCTCATTATTTTCTCTCCATCCTGGTGACCTCAGAGTCATCTTTGACTCCTTGTTCCTTTGCCCTCTACATCTTATTGCTGAGACTTTTTGGTTGGCCACATTATTTGCCTCATTAAAAATAAAGAGGTTCATCTGTTTCTTATAACCTGATTCTAGTTAAACCAAACACAGCTTGGTTCTGTAAATATTTCAAAGGCAGGTATGTTATCCCTCAAAATTATTTCTATTTCTCCACAGATTGCTCATCAGAGTGGATGGCGGGTAAGTGTTCAATTGATAGTTACAAGTGATGTTCATTTTTCTTACTGTAGGTTGGTATACACTTAATCTGCATTGCAGAGATTCATATTCATTTGGAAAACTTTTAAAAAATTAAATGCCTAACAAAAACACATCCATACCACCCATTTTATTTGTCACTGGCCACTGCTTGAAAGTTCTGAGGACGTTTGGGGGTTTAAATATATTTCTAGAAACCACAAAGAGGTCACTAATGTTGACAACCCCGAATCCCTCTGAAAAATAAGCACCTGCTCCTCTTATTTACTATAATAACAAATGCCTGGTCTCTGTACAGGTCAAACAGGTTTTTTATAATTTGCAAAAGGCAATTATTGGATATTAAGACTGTAGCTGTCTTTGAACCTTAGTAATAAGACCTTCATCAAATACTGGGGGCTTCTGATCTTATGAAAATAACTTGGCTAAGTATTCATGGAGAAAGTTTAGGCAATGGGAAAGACAGTATATATCTACACATTATAACCATGTTTTTATTTCAGTAAGCATGAAGAACAAGTCTAAGATTACATCCAGATTGCCGATAAACTTTTTATACACTTAATTATGGCTTGCTTCAAAATCAGGTTTTGGTTACCCACTGAGGTAAAAAGCTGGTTAAGCCTATTACAAATCTAGCAAAATAGAAAGCAAAGGCCGCACATTAGCTGCTTAAATGCCTGCTACCCAGATTAAGTTACAAGCATCTTGTTAGCAGGAGTTATTTCTTCAACTGTCATTCTCAATGCCTACCCTAGCATCTGGCCCATAATAGGTGCTAAATAAAGAATGAATGAGTGCTTGATTTATGTCACCTATTTACACATATGCTCTGGGATATATAAGGGAATTGTATTATCTACTGCCCAAATGAAACATCATTCAGGTAAAACTCTAGAGCTGCATTGTCGAATATGGTAGTCACTAGACACATGTAGTTATGCACATTTAAATTAAAATTAATAAAGATGCAATAAAATAAAACTCCAGTTCCTCAGTTGCATAACCATAATTTAATGTAGACATTGAACACTTCCTTCACTGCAGAAAGTTTGCTCGATAACATTCTTCTAGAGAGTGTGGTATTTTCTTCATATAAAAAACCCCAAATCCCACCATGCCAGTATACTCAGATGGTTTTGCAATTGTGAATACTACCCTCAACTTTAAAAAATCCAGGACCTCATCCACTATATATTTCCTTATCAGCCTGTAGGCTTGTGATAGTCATAATTATTAACAGCTCTTTAAGAGATTTTTAATAAATTCAAAAGGCAATAGAGAAAAACACCTTAAAGAAGAGGTTGTCACACATATGCTTGCGAAATATTCAGCTTCTCAGATCCTAGCTGCAAGAACCTGCTCCAATAGGTCTGAGGTGTCTTAATGAATATACATTATTAGACCACCCCAGGCGATCTTGATGCACATGGCCCAAGGGCCACATACTGAAAAATGTAGCCTATGAATTACAAGGATTATCTTCTTGCTTATTCAATAAAATATATTGATTCTATGTTATGGCATTATTCTAGGCACCAGAACGATAAAGACAGAGAAAGAGAAGACATCATTAGAGAAGGTAGATATTAATGGTGGTTCCTTTCGCAAACTTGTTCCTCCAATCATAGGCACCCTGAACACTGCTGCCTATCCAAACCTGCTCTAAGTGAAATCTGGCTTCTTTGTATGCAAAGGTGAGTCCAGGAAGGATTTGATAGTAGGAATGGGAGTAATGGAATGGAGGACAAATTGAAAGGGGAAGAAGGTGAAAGAGAAGGAGGTGGGAGATGAGGAGGAGGAGCAGCAGGAGAGGGAGAAGAAAAGAAAGAAGAAAGAAGAAGGAGAGAAAAGAATGGGTCTGAGAGATAGGAAGGAAGACGAATGTACAAAGTTGGCGATTGGATGTTGAGCAGGGCAATAAGCAAGAAAAGAGTCTGAGTTGGCATTTATATTTCTGGCTCAGGTTGGTAGATAGTAGAGCCATTCACTTAAACATGGAATACAGAAAAAAATAGTAATTTGGAGGGAATCAAAATGGTTTAGTTTTGATATGTTGGACTTGTATGCTGCCTTTGGTACTTCAAAGTGAAGACATCTAGAAAGGAACTAGGTATACAGTTTTAGAGCTTTAAAGATGGAGGTTTGGGATGCACCAATGTTTCATGAAACAAGGGGAGTAAATGAAATCATACAAGAGAATAAAATCATACTATAGAAAGAGAAGAGGAGGCTCAGAAAGATAGGAATTTGGTAGACATAAATAATTTAAGCAGTGATTCTTAAACTTTGTGTTCCATGAACTTTCTGAAAATTCAGATGATTTCTAGAAATGTCAAATATCACAGACTTAAAAAAAGTTTCCCGTACCCCTTTGAGAACTCCACAGATTTCAGATGTTTAAATTATAAAAGAGGAAGGGAAGCCCATGAAAGACAGTGAGAAGGGGAGTCAAATAGTAGGAAAACCAGATTTCCAACTCTTGGAAATTTGTTCTTCTGACCTAATGCAACACTAAATATAAGCCTTTCAAATTAGTAGCCTGCTATTCCTGTTTATAAAATCAGGAAAGCAAGAATGCATATTTAGAAGTACATAATTTATTGAATTATCATTTCTTATCAGTCCCTCAGAGTCAGCAATTGGATACCTTCTCCATTCTGTTTTGGGTTTTCTTTCTTTGACTCATAGAAGCCATGGCTTCATTAACTCAGGAAAGAGAGTTTCTTAGAGGATATCAACAACCCCGCAGTGGTATTCTCTTCCAGGTAATTATCAAATAGGTGTAGAGTAAGGCCAGCATGTGTTTGTGTTTCACTGGGATCCTGGCCTTTGATGTCACACTTACCTACAGAAGTGATGATGACTGTGAAATGAGTTTCATCTTGCCTTCCAGTTACGTTGTTGTAAGCACAGCACACATAGTCAGTTGTCTTCTGGGCTACTTCCTCAGATGCAACTTCCAAGAGAGGCCCATGCTTAATGACATATGTTGTGTTGTCAGTCCTTTGGATCCAGGAGTAGGTGTTAGGAGGATAAGAATCAGCAGAACAATCAAACAAGATGGCTTCTCCAATGTCAACAGTAAACACTTCCCCTACTTTTAGTCCTTTATCAGAATTAACTCGAAGTCCATAAGGTCCATCTGCATTAGTTAAAAAAAAAAGGATAACATAAATAATCATGACATAGTTTACAAGTTTGAGAGAGCTTAGCAGCATTTTCTTTTCTATGAAAGTCTTCAAGTTAAACTTGGGCAATAGGTTCCCTGTTTAGATTCCCAATAAATGATAAGGACCTAAAATGTTTTATTCTGATATCCATGGAAATAGTAATTATTTGAGATGTGATTGACCTTATTTGAAATAGTGAAAGCCTTGAAACTTGGTATATTACAAATTTACAGACACTGTTGTCATAATCATGGTGCTAAGCTTTTGAGCAACATTGATAAATATGCAATCTTGATAGACAAATTCAATCTTTCTGAAACAGTAATTGCATTAGAAAGAAATTTAAAAATAGATTATGGCCACTATTTTATCTTTGACAGTCATATTTTGAGTATTATGTGTGTGTTTTTCTAGTGCTAGGATATGTTATGCAATATTTATAAAATACAGGTACATAGTTTCACATGGAACATAAATTTGTGCAAATAGACATAAGGGGTGTTCTATATGTGCATATTTTCATGACATTTTAACAGTTAACAAATTTTAAAAATACTTCTTTTTTTGTTAATCCTCATCAGAGGATATTTTTTCCCCATTGATTTTCTTTTTTAGGGAGAATGGAAGGGAGGAAGCGGAGAGAAAGAGAGAAACATCGATGTGAGAGAGACACATTCATTGGTTGCCTCCTGAATGCACCCTGACCTAGGCAGACCAAACCTGCAACCCAAGTACACACACTTGACTGGGAATTGAACCTGCCACCCTTTGGTGCATGGGCTGACACTATAACCACTGAGCAATGTGGGCCAGGGCTCAAAATACATCTTCATTATCATTAACAAATATTCATTGATCATCAATAAACTACTTAATTATGGATAGGCCGTGGTGTTTTTCCTCACACTACAATATTCCTATAGCATTTTGCTATTTCTATGGCATCTGATTACCTGCAGATGGAGACATATTTCCAATTGCTTTCTTCAGAGAATAAAGAGAGAGATTAAAAAAATATTCCCACCCTAGCCAGTTTGGTTCAGTGGATAGAGTGTTGGCTTGTGGACTGAAGGGTCCTGGATTTGATTCTGGTCAAGGGCTCGATCCCCAGTAAGGGGTGAGCAGGAGTCAGCAAATCAATGATTCTCATCATTTGTGTTTCTATCTATCTCTTCTCCCTTCCTCTCTGAAATCAATAAAAATATATTTTAAAAAATATTCCTTAGCTGGATAGGTTTTTATCATTCAATCTAAATCCTGGCTTATGTTCCAAAAACTTTAAAGTTCATGCATGATGGTGCTCATTTTTCAGTTGATCATAACCAACATTTATTGGATGTTTGCCATCTGAAGGCACTTTACTTATGTAGATAACCACATTTAATATTTAAGGCAGTCACATAAAGTAGATTATTATTCTTACAAGATGAAGAGATAATGTAAAAAATAATTTTGCCTTGGTCACGTACCTATTACATAGCATAGCTAGGACTCTAAAATACATGCATTTAATGTTCGTATTACCTCTCTAAAAATGTAAGTGATATAACTTCCACAACAGTTTCTTTTTGTCTAATTATAGTATTAGTTCTACAATAAATTACTATCGAATTAGATATTCTGTACTCAGCTAGTCAAGTAATCAATCAACAAATTCTTGTTTGAGAGATACTAGGTGTTAGATAACATAGTATATAAGAGATAAAAAATGTGTTAAGACATAGTTCCTACTCAAAAAAAATTATAAGCTGGATGGTTTGCTCAATAATAACCTAATCTTAAAGGTTCTGATTTTTTTTAAAAAGTACTAGCTATTTGATGTCTCATTATGTGAAATAATTTAAGACTAGATAGTAGGATAGAAAGGTAGATTAAATCCTGATTTTTTTCCAATGATTAGTTAAGTTTTCTTCAGAAGTAATTTAAACTTTTTGGGTCAAATTTTCCTCACCTTTACTATAAAAAGTTTGACTAGATGAATAGTTATTAAAGTTCTTTCTACCTTTGAAACATCATGATTTATGCTGTACTAAAGCTATTTTGCATACTGGCAAGCCAGCCTCAAATTTTCAGGTAGCCAAAATAGTTCTCTATTATGTGAGCATTTTCTGACCAACCTACCATTGGGGAAACAAATTTCCTAAGATATAACAGACGCGGAAGATGCAAAAAATGAATTATATTTACTTAGGGAACATACACTTTACACATATTTGCTTCCTAAAGACACACAGACATCTGAAAGAAACCTGTAGGTTAATGTGTACATATGAGATGATCCTGCTTTCAGAAAGCAAACATTAAAGTTTGAAGTAACCAGGAGCTGGACATGGAGCATTAAAGTGAAGAGAAATGAATGTCCCTTTCCTGTGACTGCTTTAGAACCCTGTAACACTGTCCCCTCATTTCAGGCTGTGATGTGGTCTTGGGAAAACCACTGTTATCTCAGGGCCAGTGCAGCGGCGGGGGCCCTTCAAGTAGTCATCACGGATAGAACATTAGGGAAGCCAAGACCACCACCCGGTGGGCTCTTGTTGTGGTTCACATAGCAGAAAACCCAGTGGGAGGCAACCACAGATGTTTGGAACAACAAGGGACCCAAGTCTGTACACAAAACGGAAAGTCTGAGAGCAGAGCAAGGCAGATAAAGAAGAGAAGTGTGGTCTTAAAAATACAGCCATTCAGTTTAAGCCACTGCCTTCCCACTGGTTTTCAGGGTTTCCAGACGGTGACTATAAAAACAAATGGCCTGATAATTTAACACTCATAAAAATTAGGGGTATTTCGTTCAAAGTGTGCTGACATTACTCAAAGGTTTTTTTTGGAAAACCTTCATTTGGAATTGCCTTAGGACCTCGCAACATGATGGAATATTCTCCAAAATAGTAATTCTTCCATTTTGGAGGGTGGGTTTGATTTGCAGAGAAAGCCCATAGTCATTTAGAGAGAAGGCTGATGAATAAGATTGATTATCTAATTTAATACCATCACTCTAGTTTAGAACATGATTTTAAATAAAGGAATCTGATTATCTTACTTTATATTCCCAACATTCATATCTATTTTGATTTTGCTACTTCCCCATTTGTTGAGTTTCATTGTTTGGCATAATCATTTTGTCCTCTGTCTGTCTTAATTATATGTTATCTGGCTCTTCACAGTTAGCCTCAAAAACCCCAAATTCTCTACCCCCCCCCCCCCACAAGCATTTCCTACAGTTCTTAGAACATAAAACCAGAGCATTTTGGTTGCTTGTTTCTGATATTATTTCTTTTCTTTTTTTTTTTTTGTTCTTTTTAAATTTTTTTTTTGTTTCTTTTGTTTCTTTTTTTTTTGGTTCTTTTTTGTTTTGTTTTTTTCTTTGTGTTTCTTTTCTTTTTTTTTTACTTCTGATATTATTTCTTAAAGTGTAACCTATTAAATTGATTATATAAAAAATACATGTTCATTGCAGAAAATCCTAATATTCAGAGAAGCGCAAAGATGAAAACTTATTTGTAATTTCACCACTCAGAGACCGAATATCCATATTTCACTGTATAATCTTCTAGTCCAGCCGTTCTCAACCTGTGGGTTGCGACCCCTTTGGGGGTCGAACGACCTTTTCACAGGGGTCGCCTAAATACATCCTGCATATCAGATATTTACATTACGATTCATAACAGTAGCAAAATTACAGTTATGAAGTAGCAACAGAAATAATTTTATGGTTGGGGGGTCACCACAACATGAGGAACTGTATTAAAGGGTCGCGGCATTAGGAAGGTTGAGAACCACTGTTAGTCTTTCTTCTTTCCTCCCTCCCTCCCCTATAGATCTTACCCATTTTTCTTTCACACTCTACACACTGCTTATAATCAATTTATTTTCTTCTTAATGAACTATGATGTTATTTCTTTTTTCATTATCACTACAGGCTGACCATCCCCTTACTTTGAGGTGCAACCTAGTACATTATTCATGGGAATGAACAATCCAATGAAAGACATTTGGAGTAATTCAACCAATATTCGACCAGTGCAGCCTCTGACGTTGAAGATGAAAGCAGAAAGATAATTCTGTTTTGACTTTGGATTGTGGTTCAATTCCTTGCCTTTGGCAGAGAACTCCCAATAGAAATGAACCCTTTGCTTCAGGAAGGGCTGTTTACTAAATGACTTGTAAAATCACATATCATCTGTTCTCTTTAACAATTTATGGCTGGGTGGCAACAGTACCTAAGTTTTCATCATGATGCTGCTTGCCACCCTGCTTGGAAGCAGATGGTAAGTATTTACTGTGAATGACCTTTTTTTTTTCCTTTAATTTTTATCACTTAGAGTACTTCCCTGCAGCGGTGCCATATGCTACACACAAAATGCAGTGGTTACTGGGTTATTATTTACAAGAGCTGGAAGGCACATACATTTCATGAACTGCAAGTAGATATTTGTCTGAATTATTGGCTTGACATTGTATTCCACCAGGATCAATACCAGATTATGACATCATATCCTCAAAAATATATGGTCAATCTTGATAAATTTTGTTACACATTTTTTCCTGCCAGAATAAAAAATAATTCCTGCTTTCATGAAAGAAGCTGTCATAGAAACAGTGCCTTAAGAAAACAGATTAGGTAATTCATGCTGAAATTCTAAATTGTGGTGTGAACTTCTATGGGGGAATATTGGAATATGACATTTACTAGATTATTGAGGAACTCTGCTAAAGGTCAGAAAAAAACAACAATGAAGGGCACAAGCACTTTAATAAGCTGTTACCTTGTAATGGGAATTTAGTCTCTCTACAGCATCATTAAGTAACACTAGAATCTGAGAGGGATATGAAGAAAGATAATCTGTTCCATTCTAGTCAAATTCAAGAAACTTTGAGTGAGTTCTTAATCTGTGCAAATTATTTCCCTAGGGGTACAAAGTTTAATAATGTCTGGGTATGGAGCACTGATGAGGGTAAGAGACTCAGGAAAATATAATTCAATGAGTACCAGAGGGCATATGTGCATAGGGTACTGCAGGAGCACAGCGAACCTCCTAGCAGCATAGAAGAGGTGAGACAGAGTGGGGGCAGGTGAGCCTTTCTAGAGAAGATGTGAAGAAAGGGGATGTAACCAGGAGCATGTAAGCAGGTGAAGAAAGAGAAGAAGGTACAACATCAACTAAGGCATGTATTCTCAGTTTGCATGGAATGATAAATATTGCAGACATGTTGATGCCACATCAACAGAAAGGATAAATGACAAATCTTCAGATTATATATTTAATTTAATCCTTATAACCCAAAACCAAGAAAAGAAAACAACAACAATAAAATAGGGCTAAAGAGTGATAGCAAGAAAAATTAATACAATAACTCTGGGTAGTGTTTCCAGTATATGTTACATATATGTTACATACGTTGCATGTTTCTATGAGTAATAATTGCTTAGAATAAACAAGACAATGATAATTTGATTTTTGAATCAAAATATGAGAGAATGAGTGAATAAATGAATAAGTGAATAAATGAATGAATGAGTGAATATCATTAAGTGGTGTTGAGTAAGTGAAGGCTTTCACATTTGAATGAGAAAATACTCAAGAAAATTAATTATAATAATACTATATTTATAATTACCTCTTAAGAGTAAAAAATCTTAAATAATGCAGGTATTCATCTTTACAATATATAAATAGAACCTACATTTGTAAATTTTCTCAATGTTCTTCTTTCTACTGTCATTAATCTATACTCAGGACAGATATTTCTCTGTGAGATGTCCATAGATTACATCTAAAAGAATGTGAAGAAGAAAGTTCAGTCTATAAAAGAAGATATATTTGAAAATATGACTTTATTCAAATTGGGATATTTTAATTCTTTCAAATAACAAAGGAAAGGAAAGAAGGTATAGCATTTAAAGTATAATATTTAACATTTACAGGTGTGATTAATGGGTTTTCTCCCCATTTTTATGCTTTCCACACTATGTATCATCATATTCTGTGATAATGAGATTGGGACATAAACTTGAACATGTTGAAAGAAAAATCTTATTTTCCCTTTTCCAGATTAAAATAAACAATATAGCAAAATAAAAGAGTAAAAATACAAATGACACTTTAATGTGCCTAATTATTTATGCAGTTTCCTCCAGGAATATTTTATTTAACTTTGTGGCCAGGGTTTAAAGATAGACAGATAAATAAGAGATAAATGTAAGAAAGAATTAATGCAAAGAAAATATTTTCATATAGAAAAACAAAATATGTTAATTTTAAAAATGGTAATGTTTAGGGAAGAAAAAATTTCTCCTAAAGGTATTCTTTCGGTTTTTTCTTTGCAGGTGTTTTCTAAATTACCCAGGCTTTCCATAACTTCTTGCTGCCATGTTGCCAATTATGTCGGCATAATTGTGTCTCAAAGGGAAAAAAAGAGCTAACATTATTGTGTTCTTCCTAGGTGCCTCTCGCTGACTTCTTTATACATAAAATTTCACTTAATCCTCCATCCCTCTTACATTGGGGAGAGTGTAGATAAGGAGATGAGGAAACTGGTGCACAGAAAGGGACAGAACCAGGTCTTTAACCCAGGCGGTCTGAATTCACAACTGAGGCCCAAAACCACTGTGCTATCCACTGACTCTCCAAATGACGTGATGTTAATTAGAGCATGTGATCAAAACAAATCATTATCAGGTTTCCTATGGTTAACAGGGAAAGCTCCAACAGGATCTCACTTCCTGTTTTCTGTCACTGCACTGAATGATGATGGTTCCTTGGGATTGATATTCAGTAGATAAAATCTGGTTGGTTTAATATCTTGTTTTGCATTTTGTACCTTTTCTATGTGAATGCAAACCATTTAGACCAAACAATAAAGAATAATGTAAGGATGTGTCTACATAGCCCTAGATTTGATTCAGTTTGCTCACATTCCTTACATCTGTTTAAGTAACTTGAAGCTTAGGTCTGTAGTACTTGAAGTTGAATGGAAGTTTTAATTCATATCAGAATAGCCTTATTCAGTAAAAAATGTGACCACGTAGTAAATAGACAGTACCAAAAAAATAGACGGTACCAAATTTTTCATTCCAATTCAATGCTAGTTGTGCATATTATAGTCACAGTTTATATTTTCTCTATGAATCTATTTCTTAGCACACAGTTTTTCCACAATGTTATCAGAATATAAGTTTATGTAAAACTAAAAATAAAGCTAAAAGTTCAGCTATACAGTAAAAATAGTACCATTGTTATTGATATTATCACAACTAATGATTGAAACAAATCTTATATAATTTGCTTGCAGTGAGTGGTGTTTTGGTATTTCTCTGTGAAAAACTATAATTTCTGTCTTTGGCACTCTTTAATAATAAAATTTCTTCTGTTTTTGATAGAAGGAACTGGCTCATCGTTAAACTCATTGAATTCTGAGTTTACCAGGCTTAATTCTACCCTTATGGTTCCACCAGCTGAACCCTCCATCCTCAGGCCACAGGGCTGAGAAGTCTTCCTCTGCCATGGCTCACTGTTCCTGTTCACACTGCTCTTCTAGCTGTGCTCTGAGCTATATGGTATCTGATAAGAAGACTTCCCGGGCCCTGACCAGTTTTTCTCAGTGGCTAGAGAGTCGGCCTGTGGACTGAAGAGTCCCAGGTTCGATTCCGGTCAAGGGCATGTATCTTGGTTGCAGGCACATCCCCAGTAGGGGGTGTGCAGGAGGCAGCTGATGGATGTTTCTCTCTCATTGATGTTTCTAACTCTCTATCCCTCTCCCTTCCTCTTTGTAAAAAATCAATAATATATATTTTTTTTTAAAAAAGAAGAAGACTTCCCAGTGGGATAGGCCATTGGTTTTCAACTAGGGGAGATTTTTCCCCCTCTCCCACTCTAGGGAACATATCGCAATGTCTAGAGATATTTTAAGTTGTCCCAACTGGAGGGTGTTGCTACTGGTATGTAGTGGGTAGTGAAAGGGCGAGGGCTAGGCCCTCCACCTTGCCCCAGGGTAAGGGCTAGGCCCTCCACCTTGCCCCAGGGTAAGGGCTACGCCCTCCACCTTGCCCCAGGGTAAGTGCTCCATCTTACCTTGGCCACGTGCTTGGCAAGGAGCTTCTTCCCGGAAGTCTAAGCCTCTGCTAGCCACACCCAGGAACAAGACACAGACTTGTGCCTGGCCAATCGGCAGAGCACAGTCCTTTCTCCTCCCCTTCCTCCAACTCCCCCTATATAACCCATCTCCACACAGAGTTATCTCTCTCTGCTTCCTGTCGCTGCGTCGGCAAGGTGGGGGAGCCGAGCTAGCTCGAATACAGATTCTTATGGCAATGTCTAGAGATATTTTAAGTTGTCCCAACTGGAGGGTGTTGCTACTGGTATGTAGTGGGTAGAAGTCAGGGATGCTGTTAAACATCCTATAAACATCTCATAACAATGAAGTTGTTCAGCCCAAAATGTCACTGGTGTGGAGGTTGAGAAGCTCTGTGCAAAGCTGACATTACCATGTGATATTAAACATGCTAGAGGTGGTGCTCTGGAGTAGAGAGGACTGGGTTTAAAATATAATAAAGAGAGGAATCGTGTTTGGGTTGGTGATGATGTTATGACATGAACTGAAGAGTTTGATTAACTTAACTCTGTACATGAGATTAAACAACAACAGAAACAAAAAGGACCAAAGAAAATTGAAATCTGAACTAATTGCTGTTCCCTGGGAAACTGAATACCTTACTGAGGAATAACTGTCTTCTCTATGATCCCCCCAATACCCTGACTCTCAGCATGGAGCTGAGGAAATGGGGGGGGGGAGGGGGTGGGAGGAGAACAGCCTGGGCACGTTATTCTTTCCTTTGGTCAGTTACAGAGCACATCTCTCTCCTAGTTTAAGATGACCAACTTACCCTCCTTGGGGGATAATAACTTAGTGCCTTCCGCATAGTTCTGGGTTCTTGAAATTGAGGTTCCCACTTTCCACTGGAAATAACATCACACAATGCACTAAGTCACAAAATGTATCCGGAAAGGCCCTTGGCCAGTATCTCAACTTGAACTTCAAGAAATAGGGTTGTGCAAGCAAATATATTTCATGATAAGACAGTATCTAGGAAGTGTGATTATAGCTGCACTATAAAAATCAAATGGCATCTGGTATTGATAGTCTCTGTGACCACCCTTGTGACAACTTCCCAGAAGAAAAGTTATGCTTTTTTTTTAACTTACAATATATGGTGGGCATAATGATGTCACTTTCCATCTCACTGACAGGATTCTTCACCAGGCAACTGTAATTCCCAATGTCTTCTTTGGTCACTGGAGCAATATGAAGAATGTTGTTTTGGGGAGAAAAGGAGTTGGTGGAGCTGGTATGGACAGGTCTCCCATTTTTTAGCCACCGGTAAGCCAGCCGGGTACCTTCTTCCACCAGGCATGTCAGCGTCATGTTCCCTACGTACTCCACAGCCCCAGAGGAAGGCTGAATCTGTACCATGGGTTTTGTGACAGGGTCTGCAATATCAGAGAGAGAGAGAAATGATTTTTACCACCATGACATTTTAACAAAAATCTATGAGGTCTCTCACATATTAAATCTCGGGGAAATGATTCTACAGTTTTACACTTTGTAAATGTAAACAGTTCAGGCGATAATTCAGGAAGAGACTAAAAATGCAAAACAATAAAATATAAAAATGTAATTCATAGCAGATAAATGATCACATTCTGCGACTTGTCAAGGATTTCCTAATGAAAACCTTTATAGCTAATGGAAGTTAGTGGTGGAGAACACCAGGGGCCGTCTTTCCTGTTTAGTGCTTGCTGACAATGTGAAGATACACTCTCACAGACAAAACATGCTTAACCCTCTCTCTTGACTTGCCCTAAATCCCAAGGGCAGCTGGTGGGATGGATGTGGTGAATCCAGATTTCTACTATTTGCATAATATAAAGCTCATATATATACCTGTGGGGAATTGAGGGAAAGTTTTAGAAAATCATATATGTACCCATTACTTTTCCTTTTATGTAAGCGAACTAATTGTATGTTTTAGTTGCTGTGCATTTGGTTTTGCAACATTACATTTGTCACTCTAACAAACCAGTACCTACATTTCAAAACTGACTCAATCTGAAAATAGGATACTGGGATTATATCAAATTAGGGATGTAAAAGACAAAATCTCAGTAGAGATTCCTATTGGAACTTTGAGATATAGGAAAACAGTTTTATGTCATGAGCCCAATACATTGTAGTAATGTCATATCTGACAAATGAGTAAATTTCTAAGAATGAGTATATATTTATTTTGTAAAAATATATTTTGATTGATTTCAGAGAGGAGGGAGGAAGGAAGGGAAGGAGGAAGAGAGAGAGAGAGAGAGAGAGAGAGAGAGAGAGAGAGAGAGAGAAACACCAATGATAACACCAATGATGAGGGAGAATCATTGATCTGCTGCCTCCTGCATGCCCCTCAACCTGGTCATGTGCCCTGACCAGGGATTGAATGGCGACCTCCTGGTTCATAGGTTGATGCTCAACCATTGAGCCACACTGGCTGGGCTGAATGAGTATATATTTCTTCTCTGAGTTTTAACTCTAAAATTGTTGGATAAGGGTGGAAATTACATCAATATCTACAATCATTTTTAGCAACCTTCATTAATTTTTGAGGTGCTTGACTTGGTTTGATAAAGGACAGTGACTAGCCCAGAGTTACATAGCAATCAGTGGCAAAATGAAGAGGGCTTTAAATCTGACTATTTCTCTGCAGCATTTGGAGAGATATGGGTTTAATAATCTCCTGTGTATGACTACAGGACACAGAGAGAGTGAGATGATATAGAAGTGACAGATGATTGGCTCCAACATTAAGATTTCAATTTCCTATCAAGCTTATAACCAGGTTGATGTATCTTAAGTAAATCTGCCTCGACTCATACAATTTTCTACACTGGAAAATGCTTATTACGGAACAAACAGATTCAAGCCTTCAGCCCAGAGGAGATAGGAAAATATGAAAGATAAGGAGAAGGGGAGTTGAAAGGGCAGCCTGCAGGGCAACTGAGGAGTTCCGTAGTCTCCAGCCTTTCTCAAGATGGGTGAAATCAACTGGCTTGTCCCTTTATTTTAATTCTTTATCTTTTCTGGCAAGAACAAAGGATTTGGAATAGCTTTGTTTGCATTATTATGATTAGAAAAGAAAAATTAGTTGTGTATACTTATTACATTAAAAAGTCCATGTTTCTTATATGTCTGTGTGGAAATATACATGATATGAGATAAATCAAATAGATAACATGTGAAAGATCTCATATGGAGAGAATCAATCATTAGAATAGACATTAGTATTGTAATCACATATTTGCCTAAATAGTGTAACTCAGATGTGGAAATCTCCTGAGAATACTTTTTGCGTAGGCCCCTAAACCCTTATTAAGGCTTTTTGGTTGCATTTCTCTAAACAGATCCAATTTTACTACACATTAACAAGTAATGGATGTTCTACTAAAAGTTTTGGGGATAGATAGGATACTACACAGGAGAATTTCATGAAAAATTCCCTTTAGATTTTTCTTCTTTTTGTTCCCCAAATTTACTCTCTAGGCATCTGCTTCCACAACCTGTGTATTTGCTACCCCGCAAATTTGATCTCCACTCATTTACACCACAAATATACACTGAGTACCTATTAATAAGCAGCAACAGGTTTAGGCACTGAGGACAAAGCAGAAAATAATACAAAGTTTCTGCTCCCATGTACCATGTACCTTATATTCTATGAGGGTAAGATAAACACTAAATTAGTAAAAATATAAATAGGTTGAGTGGAAATAAGTGCCTTGAAAGATCTCTCTCTCTCTCTCTCTCTCCCATTTTGGCTGAGACCTAAAGGAAATAGGAGAGAGAATCATACTATTATCTAGGAGAAAAGCAGTCTAGGTAGAGGGAACAGCAAGTACAAAGGTCCTTTTCTAGGGAGAACAAATTGACCAGAGTAGCCACAGCAGACTGTCGGAAAGTGAGGTAGGGAATGGAATCACATAGCTATTGGCTATGATGGGGAAATCATGGTGGACCTTGTAGGCCATTCTTAGTACTTTAACTTTTATTCTGAGTGAGATAGAAGGCTATGGGAGGATTTTAAGCTACAGGAGGCAGGAGTAGAAACGGAGGCTAGGTATCAGGCTACTAGGATAGTATAGGGCAGTGATGGCGAACCTTTTGAGCTCAGCGTGTCAGCATTTTGAAAAACCCTAACTTAACTCTGGTGCCGTGTCACATATAGAAATTTTTTGATATTTGAAACCATAGTAAAACAAAGACTTATATTTTTGATATTTATTTTATATATTTAAATGCCATTTAACAAGGAAAAATCAACCAAAAAAATGAGTTCGCGTGTCACCTCTGACATGCGTGTCATAGGTTCGCCATCACTGGTCTAGGGCCTAGGCCCTAGGCAGAACTGATGGTGGGGTGGAGTGGGGCAGTAGTGGGGGTGGTGAGAAGCGATGGAAATCTCTGTATATTTTGAAGGTGAGACTGACAGGATTAACTCATGGGCTGGATGTGGGACATGAGAAAAAGGGGGGGAGGTCAATGGTAATGGCAAGGTTTTGCCCTAAGCAATTGATGGAATGGAGTTGGTACTTATGAAAATTTAGGAGAAATATTGTAAAAAAAAATGGGTTTAGAGGGGAAAATGAGAAGTTGGCCTTTGGGCATAGTATAGTTAAGGTATGCCATTTAAATACCTCACTAAGGAAAACAACTGTCTGATCGTTAGCTGACTCCACTCTCCCTCAGAAGACATTTCCCACAACATCTATTGTTTCTTCAGTCTGGTCCTTGAACAGGTCTCATCCTCCCCCACCCAGTGTGTCAAAATAAAAACCTCCATGTGCCCTGACTGGTTTGGCTCAGTGGATAGAATGTCAGCCTGCAGACTGAAGGGTCCCGGGTTCGATTCTGGTCAAGGGCATGTACCTTGGTTTCAGGCACATACCCAGTAGGGAGTGTGCAGGAGGCAGCTGATCAATATTTCTCTCTTATAGATGTTTCTAACTCTCTATCCCGCTCCCTTACTCTCTGTAAAAAATCAATAAAAAATATATATATTTTTTAAAAACCTCCATGTGACAAAATTAGAGATCTTCCCAGGGTGCATTCTGCACTGAGAAAATGAAATTTTCTCAATCTCATTACTTTATACTTGATAATTTCTCGGCAAACCAAAAAGTTCTACTTATTGCTTGATTACCTTTAGCTGGGCACTGAATATCCTTCACATTCCTCTCTGATTTAATCCTCAGAAAACCTCATGAGGTAGATAATGCCATTCGCGCTGCGAGACACGGAGGCTTTGTGGGTTAATTAATTTGCCCAAAATTGGAGAGCCAGTACCTAAAGCCCAGGTAGTCTAATCTGAGTCATGGCTAACTGCCATGCTTCCCAGCTGCCCATAGCATTTACAGTGGACTCACCATCAACAGTGACTTGTATCTTCTGACTAGCTGAGAGAGTTCCATTTCCTTGAATGTTGACCTTCACAATGTAATTGCCTTCATCGGTGAACTGCAGTGGGTTGATGAGCAGAGATGCATTGGGTGGCATCATGGTGAACTTGTGTTGGTATTCCAAGTCGGGAACCACAGACTTGTTCACAGAGCCCAGTAAGTATTTGGGCATCGTGTGGTGTCTCTCAAACAGCCATATGATCTGGATGTCTGATGCCGGAGTGTGGAATCCATAGTGCACAGGGAGGTAGAGGGCCTGACCCCTGATACCATGGACAGTGTATGATGGCACCACCACCTTCAGCCCCGAGCAAACGCCTGTAACAAAGGAGAGGAAAGCAGTAAAGACTCTGAGCCACATTTCACAATCTAAAGAGGCAGTGCAGAGAGAAGCAAATTAGATGATAATTTCTTTCAAAGAAGAGCAGCTTCTAGCCACTGACCATTCTGGTACCGGTTTCCTGGAGAGGTAAATATTTGTCTCTGAAACCTTCTGCATTTGAAAAACTCCACCCCAAAACTGTGTTGATTACATGACTTCTTTACGGAAAAGCAGAAGTTACTATCTATGACTGTTAAAGAATAATGGGAAAAGGAGAACTGGGTAAGATTATTAGTTCTAAAGTCCATGAAACTTTTAAAAATTTTAAAATTGTGACTATATTAATGTCTGAGTCATAGATCCTAATCAAACTATGTGATTCGAGAAACTACTTCCTCCCAAAAATCTTCCTCTAAAGTCTTCTAAAATGGCTTCGTAGTCCATTATTGGAAGTTTTTCCTTTTAGCCAAAGCCTTGCCAGATGCAAATACCCCAAGGAGAGTGACATTAAATCATTATCAGTCATGATCAGTTATTCTTGCCCAGAGGCAGGAATCTGGCTGGTGTGCTTGAGAAACAGCAAGAGGCAGGAGTAGATGGAGCACGGAGGAGGAGGAGGAGGAGGAGGAGCGTGTGGTAAGACATGAGGTCAGCAAGGTGGTCAAGGCCAGATCAGGCCAAGTTTTAGGGTCATGGAAAACACTTAGGCAATTATTCTCTGAGATAGGGATGCAACTAGAATTTTGTGAACAGAGAGAGAGATGATCTTTTTGTTTTTGTTTTTTGGGCGCATTTCAGCTGTTGTGAGAATAGACAGGTGTGGGCAAGAGAAGGAGTAGGAGACCACTTAGGAGGTGATTACAGTAAAGTAGGCAAGAGATGATTGTGCTGTAGACCAGGGTAATAGTAAAAGATTCTGTGATAAAAGGCTGGTGGTGCTAATTTGATGACACCTTGGGGGTGGGATATAAGAAACCAAGAAGAGTCAAGAATGACTCCAAGGTTGTTGACCTGATCAGTTGGAAGAGTGGAGTTGTTGTTTATTAATGGACAACTAATGAAGTTATTATGGGAAAACTGTGAGGAGAACAGCTTTTCTAGGGGAAGATCAGGGTTCAGTTTTGTACATGTTCATTTTAGATGCCCATTAGACATCCCAGAGGGAATACTGAAAGGCTATACTAGGCATGAAAGCTGGATTAAAGTGGGTTTAAGAGGGAAGGATGGCCCTGGAGGACTTTGAGGGCATGGAGCTCTGCCAAGTGCATAGCTCTGGCTCCTGCCTATTTGCCTGGGTTGTTTGGCCCATGTACTTCTATGTCTGCAGGTTTCTTTCTAGTTTGGGGTAGTTAGAGATTTCCCCATCTTTACCTTGTGTCATGATGCACTGTTTTATTTAGCATTTCTATGTATTTGCAATTGAGAAGAGAGTCTTCCTTAGTTTAGGCTACCATGTCGCTGAGGTCTTGATTAAAATCTCTTTGGTTCAAAATCTTCATTTTTAAAAGTAGCAATATGGCACATTTGAAATAGTGAAGGAGGGAATGGAGGAACTTAAATGTGAAGTATTTTGAACAGTAAGAGAAAAAAAGGAAAGGAAATTGGAGACAGTGAGTATAGACCAGCCGTGGGCAAACTACGGCCCGAGGGCCAGATCCGGCCCGTTTGAAATGAATAAAACTAAAAAGAAAAAAAGACCGTGCCCTTTTATGTAATGATGTTTACTTTGAATTTATATTAGTTCACACAAACACTCCATCCATGCTTTTGTTGCGGCCCTCCGGTCCAGTTTAAGAACCCATTGTGGCCCTCGAGTCAAAAAGTTTGCCCACCCCTGGTATAGACAATACTTCTGGGGAGCTTTGCCGTGAAGGGGAGCAGAAAAACTTTCCTTCTATTTTTCTTAGGATGGATGCTGAACAGCATCTTTGTAGCTATTGGAACGATGCACTAGAAAGAGAAATCTTGATGAAGCAGAATACATATGGGTGATGATGGAACAAAATCTGAGGTGAGAAGAGATGGGAATTTGGGCACAAATAAATATCTTACAATTGCTATTGAAAAGAGTTTGTCCAGTTGGTGTTAGCACAGCCAAACACTAAACACTGAGAAAGAAGATTGGCTAGTTGATTATGAATGGCACCATGCAGAACAGGAAGTTAATGCTCAAAAACTGGAACTCCCCAATGGAATATAGGTTACAGATTATACAGGGCAGAAATCACAAGACACTGTGGGTTAGAGGTTCAGGGTGGTATTGGGAGCTGATTGATAATAAATCATTTCTTCAGATCTTGAGGACAGCTCTGAGGTCTGCTCTGGAACCTCTGTCTGGTTTTATGGAAAAGGAGCCAGGGTGGGGGGTGGGCGGGGGGGTTGTTCCACCTTAGAGATCAGGAACTGAAACATAATTTAGGTCAAGATATTAACTTTAGCTTAACATACTTTGTGACCCTGGCCATTGTTTCTGGCTGCCTCAGGCGGGTAGTGACTTGTAAGGGAAAGGGTTAAGGTTTACAGGGCATCCTTTGAAGAAACTGCATAGTGCTGGGCTACCTGTTAATTCAAAATTATACATTAAATCAGGTTTCACAATTTCAATTTCCTCATGTAAAAAATGTTTATCTTCTTTGATTGCTTCCCCTTTTCATCCCTACTAGGAAGGGGATCTTAAAGCTTTCTCTGAGTCTTGTTATGAAAAGCCATCAATATTAGGAAGGGAAGGTATAAAGGTCAGTTATACAATGAGTTCTTTGGAGAAAGTGAAAGATGTAGGCCTGCTCCTAGGAGGTATCAAGTTCTACCGACAGTAAATTTCTCTTTCCGTCCCAGGGTACAGGTGGGGGG